TGGGTGCTGGCAGGCTTGCACCTGGCACGGGCACCGTAGCCAGACCGTGCCCCTTTAAGGGCTCCGGGCCGGGAGGGGAGCAGACGAGTTTTTCTGGTGGTGCCCAGAGTGGCCACCAGGGAAAGCTGGGAAGGGCTAGCCTCCCATTAGTTCGAATTAAGTGGCTACACAGCCCTTAATTCGAACTAGTTAATTCAAACGAGGTGTTAGTCCTCGTGAAATGAGGTTTACCTGGTTCAAATTAAGCACTCCACTAGTTTGAATTAAGTTCGAACTAGCGGTTTGCTAGTGTAGCGCCTATCAAAGTTAATTCGAATTAAGGGAGGATATGATAAAGGTATAAAACAAATAAAAGGAAGTTCATCTTCACACAACGCGTAGTCAATCTGTGGAACTCCTTGCCTGAGGAGGTTGTGAAGGCTAGGACTATAACAGGGTTTAAAAGAGAACTAGATAAATTCATGGAGCTTAAGTCCATAAATGACTATTAGCCAGCATGGGTAAGGAATGGTGTCCCCAGCCTCTGTTTGTCAGAGGGTGGAGATGGATAGCAGGAGAGAGATCACTTGATCTTTACCTGTTTGATTCATTCTCTCTGGGGCACCTCGCATTGGCCACTGTTGGCAGACAGGGTATTGGGCTGGATAGACCCTTGGTCTGACCCAGTATGGCCGCTCTTATGTTCTTATGCTCTTATGTTAGAAGATTTGAATCAGCATCTCCTATCTCCTGAGAGCCTTCATCTTCAGGCTGGAGAGTCTACACATGGCCAAATTTCAAAATAAACCCTGATTTCGAAAGATCCCTTATTCTTCCTACAATAAGGTTTACAAGGGTCCTTTGAAACAGGGGTTTGTTCCAAAATTCGGCCGCGGTTAAATACTGGAAGAGTGTCTTCCCCTCCCCCCAAAAAAGAGGACGTATGCAAAAGCACAGTGCTATTTGAATCCTTTGCACAAAATAAAAATTGTGTGTAGCTATACCCTTAGGCTATGTCTACACTGCAGGCTTCTTGTGCAAGATGGTATCCACACCTCAAAGTGCATCGCAAAAGCGAAGTGCTTTTCTTCAAGACAGCATCCACACTTCCTGGACAGTCCTCTGCAAGAAAGCTCTGATGGCCATTCTGTGACGGGCCATCAGAGCACCTGTGCTTTTTCCCTCTGGAGTGTCCACACTTGCCTTTTTGAGCAAGAACTCTGGAACAAAAGGGAGCTATGCCTCTTAAAAGGAGGTTTACCAACTTCTGCAAAAGCCCTCTGTTCTGCCGTTTTACTGCCAACGTACTTGTGCAAAAGTGCATTTGAGGTGTGGACACTCCATAGGTTTTTGCGCAAAAACCTTGCAATGTAGACATAGGCTAAGTGTTTGGTGCCTGCTGCTGACTCCGGGACAGAAACCATTTAAGTTACAAGCACTGAGCCCATATTCATATCTTCACGCACAAAAAATCATACACGTATACGAGTAGCATAGACAGACTCAGCATAACATGAGCTTTCATTAGACACCTCACTGGGCCCCCTCAGAACAGAATTTGGGGCAAACATAACAGTGAGGGTGTTAAATCCAATAACGTGACATCACTCTTAGCCTTGGGGGAAGGTGGGCGAGGGCAAAGCATTAGGTGTCTGGTTTTCAGCCAATGGAAAGTGGGCAACCCTAGTCCATGAGTGACAAAGTCTGTGATGGGGAAAGCGAGGGGACTGACAGAGGCTGCAGGAGCTTCCTGGGCAAAGACAGTTGCCCCAGCAGGAGCCAATTGTGCAGCATGGACCTATGGTGTCTCCCCAGCATCCTGCTCAGAGCTGAGCACTAGTATCTCCCCTGCCTCCTCCTCACCCTTCCTCCTGGTATTTCCCCCAATGCCTGCTCCCCCAAATGCTGGTGCTCTTCCCAGGGGTCTCTTCTAGCCCTGCAGTCGGGTCAGGCTCCGTTTCTCCAGCACGAAGGTGATGACGGGCGCAGACACCAGGAGCAGCAGGACCAGGATGCAGCGGGTGGCCCAGATGGCAGGGGACATGGTCAGTCCTGCAAAATGGAAAGGGCCGTGGTGAGGGCCGTGTGCAAAGCAGCATGTGGCCCTGCGGGGCCAGCACTAGGCACAGAGCAGCTGCTGTGTCACGGGGACCCTGTGTGAGCCCCCAGAGGCCTCACTCTATGGGTGGATTTTGCTGCAAGGGGCACATTCAACTGAAGTGAGGCCTAAGTGATGGAGGCGGTTGGGAAGGCGTCATGGGGTGTGGGGGATTCCCATGGCCTGCACCCCCATCCGCAGCCAGATGTGACCCTCATCCAGCAGGTAGAAGAGAAGGTTTATTGATTCCCAAGGACACCGCGTAGCACAGGATCGGGGTTAACACAGGAACCAGGAGCCGTCCGTACTATTCCTCTTAGGGAGAAGGAGCTCTGGGCCCTTCTCCCCCTTCCTGCTCTAAGACCCCTCCCTCATCTTAAATCTGTGGAGACTGACGCCCTCTTCTCCCAGGCCCTAGTCTCCAGCTTGCAGTCAGCCCCGCCTACCCTTTTGTTCCCTTCTCTGGCAGAAGGTGTTACCTCCTATGATCTAGTTGTCAGGTGTGAGAGGTCAAACACCCTTCTTCAGTGAGTCATCCCCCACCTCCTCCTCCAGACACTGTTGCGGTGTCCAGGGAAACCAAGGCACGTACCCCCCCACAGTCAGCACGGAACGGCACAGAACAGTAGACTCACACACCCCACCACAAAGCAATCAGAGTGAACACAGTCCCCACTGCGCCACAGAAGGCTCCAGCAGAGTCCCTCTCGCCCCAGTTTGCTCAGGCTGCATCAAAACTCGGTACAAAGGCCTCACAGGAGCCAGTGACAGACACAGCAGCCCGGACCCTGCTACCTCTACCCCGTTCACCACATGCCCCTTCCCCTCTGAGGAGAAGGTAGATGCAGTCTTGGCATTAGCTGTGTCCTGAGGACAGACTGAAGTTCTTTGCTGCTGATGCAAATTCTTTGGGGGATGCTGCGGTAAATAGCCAGGTTTGGGATCTGCTGAAGATGGCTATTGGGGCTTGGTTGCTGCCTCGAAACCAGACACTGGTGCTGGGCTAAGATTCCCAGAAGAGGAGTTTGCCATAGCCTGAGTGTAACACTCTGGATCAAGCCTGGAGCACAGAGTGTAACTAGCTAATGACACGGAGACAGAACCTGGGATCCCAGGTGGGATGATGCATCTGGTGCCTCCTGCCAGAACAACCCCACACCAGGAGGGTATGTCTACGCTGCCAGTTTTGCTGGCAGTGAATATGCAAATTAGGCACATATTAGCATATCACCAAGCCTCATTTGCATAATTTGTGCAAACCATTTTTGTGGGGGGTGGGAAGTAATGTGGACGGGGTTTTTTTGTGCAAACCCCCAATTTTGCACAAGTGATATGCTAATCAGAGCCTCACTTGCATACTCAGAGAGTGCAGACGGGGCAGGTAACTCCAGAGGAAACTTGCCCAGCAGAAGGGTTTGGGATTCCCCCTCTGACAGAGCCACTTTCCTGCCCTGCAAAGATACAACCCAGCTCAGCAATGCTGGGCAAAGCCTGGGAGTGCTCAAGGGAGATTTTACTACATTGGATGAACCCCTCCCATTGGATCCCTTTACATCCATCACCATGGTGATCAGTCAGACCAGCTGCCCAGCCCAGGATCCACTTTTGCCTAACTAGAGACCCCACAATACAGAAACGCTTCAGAAGCATTTACCTGGGCGGGAGGAACCCCCGACACCATTGCTGGAGTCATCACCTAGGCAACAAACACACACGCGATCAGAACATGTCACGGCCCACTCCAGGCTCCTACACTGCTCTAGCACAACTGACTGAGGCCAGTGCAGCTGCAAGGGACTGGAGCACAGAGCAGAAATAACAAATACTAGCAGCACTGCAAAGACTAGCAAAACATGGAGATGCTATCATGAGCTTTCTTGGGCACAGACCACTTCTTCAGATGACTGGGGTACTAAAAGTCCAGATCCAAGAATAAATATGGGAGGGGGGATGAAGGATGAGGGGCAAGAGGAAAAAAAGAGGAAAAAATAGTGATTTAGATTGTTCAAGTTACAAGACTCTGATAAGAACAACTGGTATTTCCGTAAGTACCCATTGGTTGGTTGGTTGAGTCATTAGGACGTGGAAGGTCGTTTGGGAGCCAGCCAATGTTTTTATCCATTCCTCTCGGATAGGAATCAAACCTGTAAATGAAGTAAAGTTCCAAGGTTTCCCTGTGTATCTGGCTTGTGGAATTGGCCTGAAAGAACACGCTGACTTGGAGATCCATTAATGATGCCCCAGCAGGTAAAAGTCTTCTCCAACAGGTTTCTGTGGCTACGCCTACACTGCAGCCTTTTGTCAGCAGAGACAATGCAAATGAAGCACTCATTGGCATTTGTCATGCTGTCATTTGCATATTCTTTGCAGATGCTTTTTTGCAGAAGAACTTTTTGGGCAAAAACAAGCAGTCCCCAGTTATCTACTTTTTGGAGGCATAAGGGATCTTGCACAAAAGGGGTTTTTGGCACAAAACTGCCCCTTCTACACAGCTTGTTTTTGCACAAAAAATTCTTATGAAAAAAGCATTGGCAGAGAATATGCAAATGACAGCACGAGAAATGCTAATGAGCACTTCATTTGCATTGTCTCTGCTGACAAAATACCAATGTAGACTGTGTGTTGCCTTTTAGGATATTTAATTTGTGTCCATTCATTCTTTCCCGTAGAGACTGACCACACATGGCAGTGTGGCACTGCTGGATTTCATGGCATCCTTCAGTTTAGTGGATGTGCAGTTAAATGAACTCCTGGTGTAGTGGCTGATGTGGCCGGGTACAGTGATGAAATATCTTGTGTAGGTGTGTGGACAGAGTTGGCACTGGGGCTGATTGCAGGGGTGGGTTCCTGGGTGATTACGATGGAGGTGTGTGGCACAGTTACTGGAAACAATTTGTTTGTGGTTAGGGGGTTGGCCGTGGGTGAGGACTGGCCTTTCCCCCAACGCCTGTGAGAGTGAGGGGCATTTTCCAGAATAGGTTGTTGGTTGTTGACAATGTATGGGAGGGGTGTAAGTTGGGGGCTGTAAGTGATGACGAGTGGAATTCTGTTGTTTTCTCTTCTTGGCCTGTCTTGAAGTAGAATAGTAATAGACATGTAGCCGTGTTAGTCTGGTCTGGCTGAAACAAACGACAGGACTATGCAGCACATTAAAGACTAAACCACCTTGTTAGTCTTTCAAGTGCTGCATACTCCTGTCTTTTGTCTTGAAGTAGTTCATGTCTGGGTACAGGTCTAGCTCTGTCGATCTGTTTTTTCACTTCTCCAGGTGGGTATTTCAGTTTTAGGAATGCTCTATAAAGATCCTGTAGGTGTTTGTCTCAAACATACCCACCTTTACCGATGACACTCAGATGCTGGGCAGGGCTGAGCTGGGATCTGGTCATCTGAGTGTTGTCCTTGATCTCGTACCCGCAGGCATAGCGCCCGGAGCTGCCCCCGGACACCATGTGCTTATAGCTGTAAATTACCTTCGCCTCTGAGCCACTCTGGGATGAAACTTTCTCCCCGTCTTTGCAGAAGATGATGTGGGTGGGTAGGGCCTGGGAGACCACGGAGCACTGGAACTGCACGGAGTCTCCTGGCTGGGCCAATGTCTGGTTCAGGAAGAGGATGGGAGCAGGGAGAGCACCTGGCCAAGGGAATGGGTCAGAACTGTCAGTGGGGTGTTGCTGGTGCCTGGTGCTGTCAGTGGGGCAGGTGGTCTGCGCTATATCTCAGATGGAGGCTCTATTCCCAGCCAGCTGTGCAGACCGGAGGTGGGGCAGGGGAAGCTCTGTCCAGGTCCTAGGGGCTCCATTCCCTGGTATCACTGGGGCTGCAGAAGAGTCTCAGGGCTGGGCAGGTTGGGCTCCCATTGCCTGGTGTGGCAACAAGGGCCCTGGTGTGGACACCCACTGACCCGGCTGGAGATATATGGCAAGGAGAGAGGCAGCCCCTCGTCCTAGGGGCTCCATTCCCTGGTATCACTGGGGCTGCAGAAGAGTCTCAGGGCTGGGCAGGTTGGGCTCCCATTGCCTGGTGTGGCAACAAGGGCCCTGGTGTGGACACCCACTGACCCGGCCCCTTCCTGCTCTAAGACCCCTCCCTCATCTTAAATCTGTGGAGACTGACGCCCTCTTCTCCCAGGCCCTAGTCTCCAGCTTGCAGTCAGCCCCGCCTACCCTTTTGTTCCCTTCTCTGGCAGAAGGTGTTACCTCCTATGATCTAGTTGTCAGGTGTGAGAGGTCAAACACCCTTCTTCAGTGAGTCATCCCCCACCTCCTCCTCCAGACACTGTTGCGGTGTCCAGGGAAACCAAGGCACGTACCCCCCCACAGTCAGCACGGAACGGCACAGAACAGTAGACTCACACACCCCACCACAAAGCAATCAGAGTGAACACAGTCCCCACTGCGCCACAGAAGGCTCCAGCAGAGTCCCTCTCGCCCCAGTTTGCTCAGGCTGCATCAAAACTCGGTACAAAGGCCTCACAGGAGCCAGTGACAGACACAGCAGCCCGGACCCTGCTACCTCTACCCCGTTCACCACATGCCCCTTCCCCTCTGAGGAGAAGGTAGATGCAGTCTTGGCATTAGCTGTGTCCTGAGGACAGACTGAAGTTCTTTGCTGCTGATGCAAATTCTTTGGGGGATGCTGCGGTAAATAGCCAGGTTTGGGATCTGCTGAAGATGGCTATTGGGGCTTGGTTGCTGCCTCGAAACCAGACACTGGTGCTGGGCTAAGATTCCCAGAAGAGGAGTTTGCCATAGCCTGAGTGTAACACTCTGGATCAAGCCTGGAGCACAGAGTGTAACTAGCTAATGACACGGAGACAGAACCTGGGATCCCAGGTGGGATGATGCATCTGGTGCCTCCTGCCAGAACAACCCCACACCAGGAGGGTATGTCTACGCTGCCAGTTTTGCTGGCAGTGAATATGCAAATTAGGCACATATTAGCATATCACCAAGCCTCATTTGCATAATTTGTGCAAACCATTTTTGTGGGGGGTGGGAAGTAATGTGGACGGGGTTTTTTTGTGCAAACCCCCAATTTTGCACAAGTGATATGCTAATCAGAGCCTCACTTGCATACTCAGAGAGTGCAGACGGGGCAGGTAACTCCAGAGGAAACTTGCCCAGCAGAAGGGTTTGGGATTCCCCCTCTGACAGAGCCACTTTCCTGCCCTGCAAAGATACAACCCAGCTCAGCAATGCTGGGCAAAGCCTGGGAGTGCTCAAGGGAGATTTTACTACATTGGATGAACCCCTCCCATTGGATCCCTTTACATCCATCACCATGGTGATCAGTCAGACCAGCTGCCCAGCCCAGGATCCACTTTTGCCTAACTAGAGACCCCACAATACAGAAACGCTTCAGAAGCATTTACCTGGGCGGGAGGAACCCCCGACACCATTGCTGGAGTCATCACCTAGGCAACAAACACACACGCGATCAGAACATGTCACGGCCCACTCCAGGCTCCTACACTGCTCTAGCACAACTGACTGAGGCCAGTGCAGCTGCAAGGGACTGGAGCACAGAGCAGAAATAACAAATACTAGCAGCACTGCAAAGACTAGCAAAACATGGAGATGCTATCATGAGCTTTCTTGGGCACAGACCACTTCTTCAGATGACTGGGGTACTAAAAGTCCAGATCCAAGAATAAATATGGGAGGGGGGATGAAGGATGAGGGGCAAGAGGAAAAAAAGAGGAAAAAATAGTGATTTAGATTGTTCAAGTTACAAGACTCTGATAAGAACAACTGGTATTTCCGTAAGTACCCATTGGTTGGTTGGTTGAGTCATTAGGACGTGGAAGGTCGTTTGGGAGCCAGCCAATGTTTTTATCCATTCCTCTCGGATAGGAATCAAACCTGTAAATGAAGTAAAGTTCCAAGGTTTCCCTGTGTATCTGGCTTGTGGAATTGGCCTGAAAGAACACGCTGACTTGGAGATCCATTAATGATGCCCCAGCAGGTAAAAGTCTTCTCCAACAGGTTTCTGTGGCTACGCCTACACTGCAGCCTTTTGTCAGCAGAGACAATGCAAATGAAGCACTCATTGGCATTTGTCATGCTGTCATTTGCATATTCTTTGCAGATGCTTTTTTGCAGAAGAACTTTTTGGGCAAAAACAAGCAGTCCCCAGTTATCTACTTTTTGGAGGCATAAGGGATCTTGCACAAAAGGGGTTTTTGGCACAAAACTGCCCCTTCTACACAGCTTGTTTTTGCACAAAAAATTCTTATGAAAAAAGCATTGGCAGAGAATATGCAAATGACAGCACGAGAAATGCTAATGAGCACTTCATTTGCATTGTCTCTGCTGACAAAATACCAATGTAGACTGTGTGTTGCCTTTTAGGATATTTAATTTGTGTCCATTCATTCTTTCCCGTAGAGACTGACCACACATGGCAGTGTGGCACTGCTGGATTTCATGGCATCCTTCAGTTTAGTGGATGTGCAGTTAAATGAACTCCTGGTGTAGTGGCTGATGTGGCCGGGTACAGTGATGAAATATCTTGTGTAGGTGTGTGGACAGAGTTGGCACTGGGGCTGATTGCAGGGGTGGGTTCCTGGGTGATTACGATGGAGGTGTGTGGCACAGTTACTGGAAACAATTTGTTTGTGGTTAGGGGGTTGGCCGTGGGTGAGGACTGGCCTTTCCCCCAACGCCTGTGAGAGTGAGGGGCATTTTCCAGAATAGGTTGTTGGTTGTTGACAATGTATGGGAGGGGTGTAAGTTGGGGGCTGTAAGTGATGACGAGTGGAATTCTGTTGTTTTCTCTTCTTGGCCTGTCTTGAAGTAGAATAGTAATAGACATGTAGCCGTGTTAGTCTGGTCTGGCTGAAACAAACGACAGGACTATGCAGCACATTAAAGACTAAACCACCTTGTTAGTCTTTCAAGTGCTGCATACTCCTGTCTTTTGTCTTGAAGTAGTTCATGTCTGGGTACAGGTCTAGCTCTGTCGATCTTTTTTCACTTCTCCAGGTGGGTATTTCAGTTTGAAGAATGCTCTATATCGATCGTGTAGGTTAGCCGGGGAGGGTGGGGGGCGGGGCGGGGGAGGTGCTTGCTGGAGTACGGAGACAAACATACCCACCTTTACCGATGACACTCAGATGCTGGGCAGGGCTGAGCTGGGATCTGGTCATCTGAGTGTTGTCCTTGATCTCGTACCCGCAGGCATAGCGCCCGGAGCTGCCCCCGGACACCATGTGCTTATAGCTGTAAATTACCTTCGCCTCTGAGCCACTCTGGGATGAAACTTTCTCCCCGTCTTTGCAGAAGATGATGTGGGTGGGTAGGGCCTGGGAGACCACGGAGCACTGGAACTGCACGGAGTCTCCTGGCTGGGCCAATGTCTGGTTCAGGAAGAGGATGGGAGCAGGGAGAGCACCTGGCCAAGGGAATGGGTCAGAACTGTCAGTGGGGTGTTGCTGGTGCCTGGTGCTGTCAGTGGGGCAGGTGGTCTGCGCTATATCTCAGATGGAGGCTCTATTCCCAGCCAGCTGTGCAGACCGGAGGTGGGGCAGGGGAAGCTCTGTCCAGGTCCTAGGGGCTCCATTCCCTGGTATCACTGGGGCTGCAGAAGAGTCTCAGGGCTGGGCAGGTTGGGCTCCCATTGCCTGGTGTGGCAACAAGGGCCCTGGTGTGGACACCCACTGACCCGGCTGGAGATATATGGCAAGGAGAGAGGCAGCCCCCCAGGGAGGGCGCCCACTTGCTGTTGGGGGCTGTCTAGAGCCTGCACAGCCCATGCAGTGATGGCCGGTTGCTGCCCCATCGAGCTAATAGGCAACAGCCAAGGGGCTGTGTCCAGTCCCTCCCTTCTGGTGTCTAAGAGCTGCCCCGTCTTTTCCCTGTGTACCCCTGTGCAGTTCCTTGCCCCACCTAGTGGCATCATAGACAATAAGGGGGATGGTCTGCAGCCTTAGCTGAGATCCTGCCGGCTTTTAGCTTAGGCAGTAGAGGCTCATGCATTAGTCACCAGAGGTCCCAGGTTTGGTCCAATCTATTAGCAATACATCCACCTTGCCCCGAACTCCAGCTGGCACAGGGGGGCACCAGAAGCAATTCCAGGCCCAGGCTAAGGGAAGGTCCTAGAACAGCAACAGGGAGTCCCGTGGCCGGGCCGATGTCTGGCTCATGTAGAACGTGGGGACAGGGAGAACACCTGGGAAGGGGAATGGATCAGAGCTCTCAGTGGGGTGTTGCTGGTGCCTGATGCTGTCAGTGGGGCAGGAAGTACATGGTAGGGGTCTGGACCATCTCTCAGATGGAGGCTCTGAGCCCAGTCTAGCTGGGCAGACAGGGGAGAGGGACGGGCTCTCTGCATGGCCCAGGAGGTTCATTCTTTGGGATCACTGGGGCTGAAGAAGAGCCCAAGGGCTGGGCGGGCTGGGCTCCTATTGCCTGGCACTGTGCAGTGTCCTACGACAAGGGGCTCTGGCACAGGCATCTCGCTGACCCAGCTGGGACTGTACAGCCAAAAGAGAGATGACCCCAAAGCCAGGGCCACCACTGGGGGTTGGCTAGGTCCTGGCCAGCACCTCGGCCAGCCTGCGCAGCCCATGCAGTGAATTCTGATCGCTGCCCCAGGGAGCTAACAGCCTAGGGGCTGTGTCTTGTCCCTCACCCCTCCCAGGTCTACTCTACCATCCTCCCTGCCCTTGTGTCCGTGCAGCCCACATGTCTAGTGGCACCTAGACCACTTACAGAGAGAAGAATGAGCCTGCTCTACAGCCAGAGCAGAGAGCCAGCTGGCTTCTAGCCCCTGTGATTCAAGTTCGTGCCCTGGTCTCCAGGGCTTCCAGGTTTGGTTCTACCTGTTGGCACAGGAGCCACAAGGCCAATTCCAGGCCCAGGGTAAGGGAAGGTCCTGGAGCAGCAGCAGGGGCAGATTCCCCCTTTCCCAGGGACAATCAGGGTGATGGATTCAGCTCTGAGATCTCAGGGTGACTGCTGCTGCTGCTGGAGAAGTCGGTATCTGCCTGGACCTTCCCTGCACCAGTGGTCCCCCTGCTGCTGCCTTGTCCAGGGAGCCAGAAAAGAAACAGCTTGGCTGGCCTGTGCTGGTTTGGACATGGGGTTCCTGAGTGTGGTTCCCTGGCCTGGGTCGTATGGGAGCTCAAGCCTAAGCATGGGTTATATGCTAGGGTCTAGTTGTGCCCTCACAAGCACCATCAGCAATGATTTTTAATGCTGCTGCTGATATTTAGGAGCACGGAGCAGACTAAGTCTACTGGGGCAGTGGGGTAATCTTCATGGGAAAGACCTTCAGCCTCCCCAGTGCCACTGCCCTGGGGGTGGGACAGGAGTGGGTGTGACTCTCTGACCCTCCTGTCACACTGGCCAGGGCAGAGCTGAGAGGCAGCAGGACCAGGAAGGCCCAGTTAGAGCCCTGCTCAGATCCCGCACGGCCTGTTTGCATTCCAGTGCCATTGCTGCTCGAATTGCACTAAGGTGGATAGAGAACAGGAGAGGGAGGAGTAAATGCCGCAGGCAGGTTGGGGACAGACAGACATTTGGACTCACCAGGAGCTGAGCAGATCTCCTGGCTGCTGGGACTCAGCGCTGAGAACAGAAAGGGGAAGTGTGGTTAGTGCTGGAGATATAATCCTGCCTTTTCTGAAGACCCACTTCAGATAAAACCTGACTTTAACAGGCAGAGACATAATTTCCTGGTTCCTGTTTTTGTAATAAGTAAATGTGAGAGGACGGTAGCTCTGGAGTGGGACAGGGCAGATCCCTTGCACACCCAGACCTCAGCTAAGCTGGGGTCGCCTTTCCCTTCAGCACTCTAGAGGGTCAGATTCTCAGCTGGTGTAAATCAGCATCGACTCCAGTGGAGGGACACTAATTTACGCCAGATAGAGGTCTGGCCCAATAGCTCTCACCCTCAGGCTATGTCTACACTGGAGTCTTCTTGTGCAAGAAGCCTTTTGTGCAGGAGTTTTTGTGCAAAAACTTCTTGCACAAGAGCATGTCCACACCTCAAAGAACATCACAAAAGCCATGTGCTTTTGCGCAAGAGGGATCACACTGTATGGATGCTTTTGCACAAGAAAGCTCTGATGGCCATTCATAGAATGGCCATCAGAGCACCTGTGCTTTTTTTGATAGGCTCTTTTTGCACAAGAAACCCCTGCGGAGTGTCCACAAAAAGGAGCTATGCCTCATAAAAGGAGGTTACCTACACTGTGAAAAGCCCTCTACTCTGCTGTTTTACTGCCATTTTACTTGTGCAAAAGCATATTTGAAGTGTAGACGCAAAAGCCTTGCAGTGCAGACTTAGCCTCCGTGTCTACCCTGGTTCCCATTTCTCTCACACTATAGTGGATTTGCCGACAGTCTGGGCCAGGGGCTGCTCTTGGTTCTTGTTCTATTTCCCCCCAACCTGCTACGAATTAGCGCAGATTCCCACATACTCACCAGGCAGCAAGAGGCACAGAGACAGGAGCATCCGGGCGATGGTGGGATGGAAACAGCCCAGCAGCTTCAGCTTTTGGTGGGGTCAGCAGGGGACAATTTCTTCCCAACCTGCTCCAATCTACCCCCACTGTCCTGTCTGACTTCAGTGAAGGGAAGTTCCGGTCTCTCTGCTCTGCTCTGTCCCTGTCTTCTCCCCAGGGCTGGATGCCTCAGCCAGTGCCTTTCCGTGCCCTCCGGGGTCTACAGAGCTGAGGAAGCAGAGACACTGCAGCCTCTCTCTGACTTGCTCTGTCTCCTCCTTGAGCCTCATAATCACTACTGCTCCCCGTTTCCTGTCCCACGCTGTTCCCCTTCCGAGATCCGGCCACAGCGTCTCTATTTAGGACTGCGAGACTGAGAACCAAAAGGGCCTGGTTTGCTTGTTTGAGTCTAAACTGATCAGCAAAGAAACACCTCCCGTCCCATCTCGCTGCCTGGGGACTGAGACAGCCCCTGATAATGGCACAGCTGGGCCAGGGTGAAAGGTCACCAGGTAACTGGGGGCAGGGCTGGGATGTTGGGGGAGCCTGAATCTTTTGCTTCCACCCTGGTCTCCAGTCCCCGTGATAAGAACCCAGGTGCCGCAGGGGGAAATTCTTAAAGGTTCTAGGGGGACATAAATGGAGTCTGGGGCTTATACTGGTGCAAAGGGGTGATTCCTGCCCCATAGAACATCTAGTACACGTACCACAGGGGTACTCCGGCCCCCATCTGGTTAGTCTCCACCCACCCTCTCTTCCACACTCAGCTCCAGCCACTTCTGCCCCTCCTGCCCTGTCTGATCTGCTCCCCATTCTGGACTCCCAAGGACTTTGCTCTCCCTGCTGAGCGATGGGCACCAGGGCCCTGCCGGATGGGGAAGAACACAAGCAAATTGAAAACAAGCATCCAGAAGTGACCTCTGAGCAGGTGGGATCCGGAATCCGTGGGACTAAGGAAATGGGGAACCAGGGCAAAAGTCCAAAGAAAAGTGAATATCTCCTGAATAGATGTTAGCACCTCTGGGGGAAGTCAAACAGCAGAAGGCCCCCAGGGAAATGCCTCAAGGGCACAAGACAGAGCAGTTGTGCAGAGTAAGTGATGCAGAGGCGGATTGTCCTGGGATGTGGGCTGGGCACATTTCACCCCCGGGCTGGAGCCAGCTCTGCAGTGAAACTGCACAGGGATTGGTTCGGGGAGCTCACATGTTCCAGTGAGTGTCAGAAGAGCCCAGGTTGAGACTGGCTGTTATCAGTGTAACCCATCTGCCAGATGGAGCCAGCAGCAGCCATGGCTGTGTTCAATAGCTAGTGATCATCTCCATACAACCAACCCAGAACTGGCTCAAGCCCCATCCCAGTAACCTGGGAAATTCACACACCCCTGGGCACCTCTGAAGGGCAACGTCCCCACTCGCACGCACAGAGTCTGAGTGCAGAAAAGAAACTTTTATTAAAACTGCTGCTCTGATGCCTACTCACCACCCTGCTGCATTCGCTGGCCGTTTGCTGACTGCTGCTTCTGTTAGCCCCCTGCCAACTGCTCACCGCTTCCACCAGCTTGTGGTGGATTTTCCTCTGGAAAAAACCCCGTGATTTCTGCTCTCAGAGATTTCAACTCTTTGTCCAAAGTGCAGTCCAACCACAAGAAACTTCAGCATCCACTGGAGTCAATTTAAGGTAACACCAGGGGGCTGCACCTCCTGCTCGTTATACGCAAAGATCCCCTTCTCTCTGGGGGCAGGGTGTCTGGCCAGGAGGGAGGGGGCAGGAGCAGGCTGGGGGTGCAGGATCTTGGTGGAAGGAGTGGAGAGTCAAAGGATAGCAGAAAGGGCCAGGAGAAGTCTGGGGGGCGGGAGGGGGGGAACTGGGCTTAGATGGCTGAGGGAATTTGGCATGGCCTGCGGGTGGGTGGGGGGTTGGGTTCAGATGGCAGAGAGGACCCAGC